TCGTCTTCGTCTTCCTCCTCGTCGTTTTTCTCGTCCTCCTCTCGTCCTTGTCCTCGTTCTCCTCGTCCTCTCCTCCTCGTCCTCTCCTCCTCGTCCTCCTCCTCCTCCTCTTCCTCCTCCTCCTGATCGTCTTTCTCCTCATACTAGTCCTCCTCATCCTCTTCCTCCCAGGGTTGCACCGAGTTGAGGTCCACTTGTCCGTTGGAGCGCGGGTCCATCGTATGGTCACGCCTCCCTGGAGACTGAAGGCCATGAGCCGACAGCGTGCGGGGAGCCGGTCCCAGCATGCATCTGCACAGGCAGTCTCACTGTTCTTCACCGCCCACCAAACCACCCCAACCCAACCCGAAGGCCCCGTTGTGCCCTAATTCAAGTGGGGGGCGGTCGGGGAACATTGAAAAAGAACACATGAAACCCGCACCCCCCCCAACCCGAAATGCGGATCTTCGAGTCGGGTTGGGGTGGTCTGGTAGGTAGTCAGTTCTCCATCCCGTCCTCCTTTCGTCCTCCAACGTGCTGTGCCTGACACAGCTCAGGCCGCCCTGCTCCCGCTCCGCTCCCGCAGGGGGGGCCCGCCAAATTGGGCCCGCAGAGCGGAACTCTCTGCGAGGTCTTGTCTTCCTCTTCCTCCTCCTCCCCCTCTGGTTCCCCAAGAAGGGGCAGACTGCTCCTCCTCCTCCTCCTACTCCTCCTCCTCCTCCTCATCATCATCATCATCATCATCATCATCATCATCATCATCATCCTCTTCCTCGTCCTCCCCATCCTCATCCTCCTCCTACTCCGCCTCCTCCTCCTCCGCCTCCTCTTCCTCCTCCTCATGTTCCCTCCTCCCTCCTCCTCTTGGCCAATTTCGGGGGTGGGATGTCAAGACCCCGCCCGAGCCGAGGGTGAGGGGGAGGTGTTCCCGAAAGACGGCAGAAACTCTACCAGGCATTCGAACGCGCCCGAGTGTGCCGAGGGCATGGTGGCGGATATTCCTTTCGTATTCTGGAGATTTGGGGACATTCCCTGAGTCCTCTGAGGCTTCCAGAGCGCCTCCTGAGAGCGTCGAAACCTTTCAAACGAAAGCTGATAATATGGCTGCCAGGGGGGGCCAACACTCCTTTCACAATGACTCCGCATCCCACACCTCCACATCAGAGGACGCGTCGGAGATGCGCCTACCATCCGAGGCGGAAATTGATCCACAACCACTGCCTGGGGATCAATATTCCAGGACCTCATATCCATGCCCACCGCCCGCTGAGGTCCCAGGACGTCGGTTCCCCAGGCGGTGGTTGTGGGTCAATCCCCACCTCGCATACGGTCGGGAACGTTTGGAGAGCGTGTCGCGCCGCCGGTTCTGGCCCACCACGCCAGGCGCGATACGCGCCCCGAGCCTTTCCCAGCCTCCCGCCCTGCGGAGCGGAACGACACGCCGTCCGCTTGCAAGGCGCCGCGTGTCGCCGCGGCCGCCGCCGCGACACGCCATCCAGAAGAGGTCGACCGTGCTACCCGCAGAACACGCTCCAATCTTGTGGTCGCACTGCCTCTCCTCCCTCTCAGAGGCTGCAGCGGCGGGGCCTCCGCCTCGCGAGGGCCGCCGAGGGCCGAGGAGAGAGCCCCGGGGCCGACGGCGGCCGGCGGCGCGCACGGTCGACAGGAGCACCGCAGGGCACGGCGACCCCCCGCAGGCGGTCCGGCTCGGGCACGCGCGCCCCCCCCCCCCCCGGGCCTCGGGCGGCAGGGCGGCGGCCTGCCGGCCCCGCCGCCGCGCAGCCCGAGCCATGCCGGAGCCCCTGGGGGAGCCTCCTCTCGGGAGCGGCCAGGAGGGGGGCGGTGACCGGGGGGGGTGGAGGGGAGGTGTCATGGCGGGGGCCACGATGTCTCCCCAGATTGCACGGAGCCTCTTCTGATTTCGGTACGTCCCATGCCCCCCCTCTGGGCCGCGCGCGCGCCGCCGGCCATGATTTGCGCCCCCCCCCCCCTCTTGGACGCCCCTCTCTTGGGCGCCCCCGATCCTCTTGAGATGCCCCTCCGGCTGAGCGAGCCGCAGCAGGGGCGGCGGCAGCAGACGGCGAGCGCCGCGTCATCGCGCAGATTCCGGGGCCTGGTCAGGCAGCGCATCTGGGAGTTCCTCAGCGGCTCGGCGGAGGCCCCCAGGGTGCTGCGCAGAATGGCGATGGCCTATCAGCTCGTCACCGCCCTCGTAGTGGTCGCGCTCGTCCTGTTGGATGGGAGCCCTGGAGCCGCCCGGAGGAGGCCTTACCGCATCTTCGAGTTGTTATGCGCCGCCTGGTTTGCAGTCGACTACTTGGTCCGAGTTTACGTCTGTGTTGAGGGAGCGGACGACGAGGGGTTCATTCAGAACCTAAGGCAACACCGATTGCGCCCATGCCAACTGTGGCGCGAACGCGTACGATACATCATCAAGCCTATGTCTTTGGTGGATTTGCTCTCGTGGTCAACTATGGTTGTCGACTTCTCGATCGAATCTAATGCTCTCAGGGGCCTTGTCGCGTTTCGCCTGCTCCGAGTGCTTCTCCTTTTTCGCTTAGAGCGGGACCACGGCTTCATGCATAATATCATCAAGGTTATGGCAATGAAGCGAGCGGAATTGTTCGCCACCATGGGCGTCGCATTCTTGCTCTTACTGATCGTATCGACGGCAATGTATTATATCGAATCTGATTATGAGAATCCACAATTCGCCACTATTTTTCATAGTATGTGGTGGGGCACGACTGCCTTGACGACCGTCGGATACGGGGACGTGGTGCCAATCAGCCCATTGGGGAAGATCTTGGGAAGCTGCGTTGCTTTCATCGGTGTCGGCCTGTTTGGAATGCCTGCGGGAATCCTCGCCTCTGGGTTCCAGGAGATGCATGAAGATTTCGCCCGTGAACGCAGTTCCCCAAGAAGCAGGCTCTCAAGCAGAGTTGTGGACAGTTTTGACAGCAGCCCTGCAAGCGCATCAGATGTGGCCGCACCCCATGTTCGATGGGAGACATTCCAGTCCAGCATCACACTACAGATGCAAAGCCTCCAGGCTGATGTTGAATCGATCCGCCAAGATCAAACACAGATCTTGGCCCTCCTGCAGGAGTTGGCAAGGCATCATCAGGCGTAAAGGCCTGCCGTTCCGAGAGCCACAAAAACAATACGACGCCGTTGCCTTCCGCTCCGGGGGTCCCAGGGAAGCTCTACGGCTCATCGTGTTGCGGGCATCCCGCGACAGGCGCGCTTCTCCGAAGTTTCTCGGCCCGTGCCGCCGCTCGCCAGGAGTGTCTTCAGGAAGCAGATGTTGTGATCAAGTTGCTGCATAGTCTGGCAGAAGCTCAGGTCACCGGATCACGCACCTTCGGGGCACGTGCGCCAAGCGGGAACGTGTAGATCTCTCAGGTTCGGGTGCTTGTGACACCCCAGCCTCCGAGGCTGCATCAACCCAAGCGGTGCCCGCAATGGGCCCCGCGCGCTCAACTGCGGCCTCACTTATTTTTGGAGCGCTCCTGTGAGGTATCTAGTGGCCGTCGGCCCATCCCGCCGCCGCGACTGGGTTGTAGACACTGGCGCACGTGGGCTTCTCCGCTGGGAGCTCACGACGGGGCGAGCAGGTGCATTACGCCCTTGGTTTGTGATTCCGAGGAGCCAAGGACGGATATCACGCAACGGGGGTGGCAGCGTTTGTGTGCCGTGCTGGTCAGCCGAGCTGGTCGGCCTTGCTGGTATGTGTTTGCGGTCTGCTCTGCAGCGCTCGCCTGCCTGTTGCACGTGCGCACGAGGAGGCTTGGAACAACTGAAAGCCACCACGTCTTCCCAGCCATGTCCATGGAGATCCCCCCATACAGAGCTCCTGGCAACATTGCTGAGTAATGTTGCGCCCCCCTGATACGTGGGCCCCTTGGGAGCCTCTTCAGGGCTTCTCTAAGACCCCCCCAAAGGGGCCCTTTCGAGGCTCCCTGGGGGCCTTTTGGCGTCCTGCTGTCGGACGCGTCTTGGGCACCTCTTAGACGGCCTCAGTGTGGGCTTCTTGGGGGCTTTTAGGTAGCCTTTGGGGAGCCTGTTGGTGGTCTTGGGGTACACCTCAGGCGATGCTTAAGAAAACCTAAGTTTTCGGCCAGAATCTCGATTATTCTTAACGTTTCAATGTAAATCCTAAGATTTCAATAGAAATGTCGTTTTTTTTATTCAAGTTCTGGGACTATGAATTTCTTAACCCATGATTTCTTAAGCATTTCGCAGGGTGTAATTTTGGCGGGGAGGGCACGTGGAGTCCGCTCGCGGGACCCCTTTGGAGTCCCCCTTGGGACCGCTCCGAGGTGGTTGCGGGCCTGCTCCGGGCGTCGCAGAAAAGGCGATTTGGCAGCTCTCGAAAGGGGTGATCAGGGGAGAATTAGCACGAGTAGGAAGGGGAGGAGGAGGAGGAGGAGGAGGAGGAGGAGGAGGAGGAGGAGGAGGAGGAGGAGGAGGGGAGAACAAACAATGTCCGTCCTCGTTCCTTGAGTGCCGAGGGTGCAATTCGGCAGGAGGAGAAGCTGACCCACCTCCTGGCGCCGCGCTGTTGCCGTGCCCGTCCTCTCTCCGTGCATTCCCCGTGGGGGGGGGGGCGAGGAGGAGGAGGAGGCGATAAGCAACAGCATCAGCAGGAGGAGGAGGGGGAGGAGGAGGAAGAAGAGGAGGAGGAAGCGCGCGAGGTCCGGTGTTGCCAAAGGTGACCCTGGCCCAAGGTGATCCCACCTGTCCGGGGTGGCCCAGATGGCCTCCACAGCACCCCGTGCGAGGCCCAGGAAACCCACGGACTCCCAAAGGGCGCGAAAAGTTGGCGGCACCATGGGCCAGGGTCACCTCTGCTAACCTCCGAGGACGAGGAGGAGGCGGGGGAGGAGGCGGAGGCGGAGGAGGAGGGTGAGAAGGTGATCTCAGGTTTTTTTTGCCGCCGCGCTGCTGCTGCGCCCGCCGTGCCTTCCACCCCCCCCCCCCCCGGGCGCGCGGGGCGGGGGCGGTGGCGGGGGCCGCAGGCCGAGCGCCAGCAAAAGGAGGCGGAGGCCCTGGAGCAGAAGCAGGCCTCCTCCACCCCTTCTCCTTGTGATCGTTTTCTTATGCCGTGTTTTGCCCATAGGCGCGGGCCCTCCCCCCCCCCTGGAGTAGATCCTGGCTGTTTCTGGCGCCCTGTTTCAGGCAGGTGGAGCTTCCCCCACAGGACGCGCTGCTGCAAACAGTCGCAGTCAGCAGAGGTCTGGAGCCAGAACCCCCCCCCTTTCTGGCCAAGGTCGAAACGCCGAATCAGAAATCGCTCACCTCGTGAAGTATGTAGTTTTTCCCTGTCGCACTACAAAACATGTCGTTCAAGGCTGGCCGGGCGTTTCACCTGACACTGTACGGGGGCTTCACGATTCCAGCAGCTACGAGCTTGGCTGCTGTTGAAAACGTTCTGGGCGTGTTTTTGGGGCATTCGTACAGTGGGTTCTTCACTGGCTGAAGACATAACGAAAAACGTGCAGTTGCGTCAGCGTTTAGAATCGCGTTTGAGGACGTTGATGCCCGTCGCTGCAGCAATTCGATTGTTCGTTTGCTGTGTCTTGCTTCTTGGCTGTTCGACTGTGCGGAGCAAAACTGTTTAAAACCTTGGCGCAGGTTTGGCTCCAGCTGAAAACAAGCTCGTGGGAGGCCCACCGGCACATAACCCGGCAAACAACGGATTTGCTGTTACATGAGTGGAACACATTGAACAGCGAATGCAGTCGTGTGTTGCGTTTGCAGTTCTTGTTGGTAGGGCATGAAGCGGTGAATACACATGGTGTCCAACGCGCCAAGTTGAAACTGCTTAATCTCAGTGTACCAGTGCGTAAGTGGATAACCTGCCGAAGTCTGATGCTATTTCAACTCAGGAGCCTAAGCGTTTCAGAACAATGGTTTACCGTTGAAGCTGGCCATTGGGCCGTGCGCCCTCGGCGCGGCGTTGCGGTTCGCCAGTGTGAGAATCTTACTTCGCGCCTGCGATATCGGACCCTGGGTCGCCCCCGCGCGCACGCTGACAGTGGGCGAGCGGTGCCGACGTGGGTGGTGGCAATGGCGAGGCGAGCGCGAGCGGCAGCGGTACCCCACAGTACCTTTCGGGACGGGGGCCTGGCCGACTCGCGGGCGAAACTCGCGGGCGACGCCCCGCCTTCCAACAAATCGGCTCGATCCTCGCGCGCAAGCACGTAGCCAAGGCCATGGGTGGCGAGTACAAGGTACAAGCAGACGCTCGTCAACAGGATCCCTGATCCTTCGAGGCCGTGCCATCACATAGGTTTCCGTTGCCACGGCCGCGTGATGATTCGCTGACCCGGACTACAGGCTCAGGCGTGACACAATGGATTTGACGCAAGGGTTGTACAACATGAGGGGCAAGCGGAAGGAGCCCCCCGTCTTGGCAAGTTGCGACCGTCTACCTCGCGAGAGAAAGGAAAAGGCTAAGGAGCTCGAGAAGCATGAGGAACATTCAGAACGTCAACCTGGATGGCACCTACGCTGCCGCCTTTGAAGATGAACGTCTGGGAGCTGTGGCCGACTTCGCGATCGCTCCCGTCGGCGAGAATCACATCATGTTCGTCTGCTTGCACTGCAAGACGGCCTCCCTCAAGCCGGAAGAGCGGGCGCGTCGCGCGCTGCCAGCGCAGCAGGATTCGCCGAGGGGCGCCGCGGGGGGTGGCCATTGGAAGTGCGCCAGCAAGAAACGCGGCCACAGATGGGGAGTGAAAGGCGCCGACGCGTCGAATCATCGGGCCATCGCCCTCCCGTCTGAGGCCATTTTCGACAAGGGGGGCATGTCAGAGGCCAACGACGAGGAGGCCGAGGCCCTCGAACGGCCCCGGGAACGCGCGCCGGCCGAACAGGCCGAACAGGCGTAGATGGTTTATTTTGGCCATGGCGACACCGAGCAATAATGCGCCCAGACCGTCCTCAGGACGGCCAAGCTGGTCTCCACCATCCTCGCCCGCGACGGCGGCAATCCCTCCCCGGGCGGCCCTGCGGCGAAAGAGATCGTCGCGGTCATGGAAGCCGTCCACGCCAGCAACGAGGAGGCCCGCAATAAGCTCATCAAGCATGCGCCCACGCACTCAGAGGAGAGGGCCACCGCGTTGAAGCTCGAGGAGCCGAGCGCCCCCGCCCATCGCGAGGGCCAGCTGCTTTTCCTTGGACAGGTTCACGAGCAACTGCCGCGCTTTCCGCCCATCAACGGGCTGCCCCGCGTTGGGCAGCGAGTTGCGCGACGGGCCCTTCGACCGCTTGCCGCCAGTCCTCGACGTTCAGGGCGCCGCGCGGAAGCCGCGCGCGCTGCTGCCGCAGCTGATCGGCAATGAACTTGCCAGGCGTCGGTTGCAATGCCCGGCGCCAGCGGCGGAGCGGCTCCGGGCAACCCTTCTGGATCCACGGGGGCCCCGTCGGCGCGCGGGGCGGGCAGCCGGCCGCCGAGGGGCCGACGACGCGCCGCGCCCAGCTGGGCCGCAAGGAACGCGCGGTGCATCGGTCAGAGTTTGGCGCCAGCGGCGGCGGTGCCCCACGCGACACTTCGGGGCGGGGGCCCCGTCTGCGCGCGGGCCTGCGAGGCAGCCACCGCGCGGCCCGAAAGTGCGCCAGAACGGGCGGCCGTTCGCGGCCAGCGTCGGGCGCAGCGCGAGGGGCGGCGCGCCTGACAACAGAGGCGCACCCGCATCTTCTTCGTCTCCGGCCTGGCCGACCCACCCGCGAGAGGGCGCGGCGTCGCCGCGCCGCGCGGGCTCGGGCGGGCGACGGGCGCCGCGGCGGGGGATTTCCGCTGGGCCCGATGGCGCGCCTCCGGGACAGCCCCGAGCCCCGCGGCGAAGGCGCCCGCCTGTCCGCGGCCCTCCTCGGCGCGGCCGCGGGCGGGGGACGGGGGGGCCTTCGCGAGGTGGAGAAGCTCTCGCGGCGGGGCGGGGCCCATGAAGGGCGGGCAGGGCTTCGGGGCCGCGCATTCTGTCCATGTCTCGCTGGAGCGTCGCGCGGCCGCGACAACTGGGCCGTCGCCTGATGTGCGACCGTTTGCGATCGTTCCACGTCGGCGTCGGCTTGGCCAGGGCCGAGGCCGCGCTTGGTTTTGGGCGGCCCACCGCGGCGGACCTCGCAGGCCCCCCCCCCCCCCGCGAGCTTCGCAGGCCGCGCGGCAGGCGCAGCAAGCTTTCGCCCTCGGCGCCGCCCGCGCGCTTGCGATCGAGAGACGGCTCGCCGGGCGCCGCCGCGGGCCCTCGCGACGGGCGCGGCGGCAGGTGCGCGCGCGTCGCCGGGCGTGGCTCAGCTGGGGGGCGTCGAGGAGAACTTCGGGCCAAAGCTAGTCGGGGCCTGCGCCGGGGCGCGGGCGCGGGCGATTCAAGGCTCCCAGTCTGACCTCGACGCGCGCGCAGGGCAGCGATGGGGCGCCATCTGGAGGGGCTCAGGGACAGAAGCAGGCACGTCCGCTGAAGGGAAAGACGAGCTCAACGTCAACGCGTAGGACAGATGGGCAGCTCGCGCAGGCGGCAGCGCCGGCGCGCGCACGGCAGGCAACGCGCGCGGGCGTCGAGCACTAGCGCGAAGATAAATCGGCGAACGCGACGCCAGTCAGGGAGTCCAGCCGACGAGCGTCTCCGACCACCTGGCGACGACGCTGATCCCCCAGGGGGCGCGCGGGAATCCTGGGGAGGGCCAAGCACTGGCGGTGCCCGCCCTCGAGGCCAGGCAGACGGAGATCGAGCGCACTGGCGCCCAGACGGGGGCAGCCGACTTGACCGAGGGGGATGAGGGCCCGCAGCGGGGGCAGGGCAATGGCTAGCGTCAGCGGCGGCGGGGCTCTACTCGATCCTTCGGGGCCGGAGTTCTCGTCGGCGCGCTGGCCAGGGGGTTGGCCGCCGCGCAGTCGCGGGCGGGACCAGGGCGGGCGGCCCCTCTCGCCCCCGCCCCCCGCGGACCAGGGCGCGTTTGGCTCGAGACCGCAGCGGCGAACGCCAACGCAGACATGGCGTTCGCCGCGCCTGCAGCTATCATGTCTTGTCGAGGTGCTCAGAAACGACAGGCCGGTGACGCGGACTGTTGCCACCTGCGGTGGCCCCGCAAAGGCCGTGCAGCACGTTGCGGCCTCGCGGAGGGGATTGGGCTTCAGGTCTGGCAGCGCAAGAAAATTTACGCCATGGGAGAACTTGGAGCGCTGACTGGGGCCCGCAGGCTCGGCCAGTGCCACGCGAACCAGCAGGGCTGGCAGGGGGGCAGCCCGCGGCTGTCTCAGTCGTACTTGGATTACGTGCCCAAGAAGTGCGTCAGGAGCCTCGCGGCAAGGAACATACAAGGCGCCGCGGTCGCGCACCCGCCGCGGGCCCACGGGCGGCAGCGCGTGCACCGCGGCCGCGAGGAGACCTGGCAGCTTGCGCAGCAAGACCACGCTCGTTTCCACGCGGCGCTGACGAGGGCGACCCGCGATCCGGAGGTCAAGGAGCGACATTTCACGACGGCGCGGGCCCTCGCCAGCCTGGCGACGCGCCGGCAAACCCAATGGCAGCCGCAGCGGCAGCGGCCGCAGCGGCAGCTGGCCTTCGCAGATCGCCCGCGGAAGCAGGCGCGCAGGGGCGGCGCTGGCCGCAGAGGGGGCCGCAGCGCAGTCCGGGGCGCGAGCCCTCCCGCGCAGACGCCAGACAGCAAGTCGAGCCGCGGCAGGGCGGCCGCCAGGGCGACCTGGGGTGGCGCCGCCCCCATCGAGTCTCGAGACTAGGACATTAAAAAACCGCTTGGGCGTATCGCGACGCGGCGGCCCCCCAGCGGATATCCGCTGGGCCTTCCTCAGCACGGCGGCCCCCCAACGCGGGGGGCTTTTCGCCCGGCCTTCCGCAACGTGGCAGTTATCCGACGTGTTTTTGTTTTCCCGCTGGGCCTTCCGCAACACGGCGGGTCCACGACGTAGGAAGCTATTCGCCAGGCCTTCCGCGACATGGTAGCGCCCCAACGTCGGGGGGCCTTGCGCTGGGCCTTCCGCGACATGGCGGCGCCCCTCGCTGGGCCCCCCGCAACGCGGTGGCCTCAACATAGGCGGCTT